GAGAGAGAAACAAGGGGAGAGTGAGAATATATTAAAGCAGCAGAGGATATATGGAAGTGAAAGGAGAAAAAAAGGAGTGTAAAGAAATGATTTGGGTGATAATGGGAAAGTAAATACATGGAGGTTTGTACTTTTTATCTTGTTCAGAGAAACTGGCATTCAGTATATTTTTGAATAGATGACAAAGGTAAAAACAAAACAAGTCAAGCTTTTAATGTTTTCATTGTTTACCTGTTTCACCTCTGCACCAAACACAGAAAACTATTAATTTCAAATGTGCTGAAAAGAGACTTGGAGTAGGGTGTTAAGACGGATTGATCAGTCCACATGAACGTGACACTTTAGTGCTCTACAGTATATCACTGTTGATTCTTTATAAGCAAAAACTTTCTTCCTTCTTTTACATTTTGGTGTTATCTATTCAAAAAGCCATTATTATTTCCAAAGCAGTACTTGCTATAACTTTTGAGATTGCTAACCTACTTTTCAGGTGGCCACATTAACATTTATCTGTATATATGATTATCTGGCACAGGAGAAATCTGCTTTTTTGTCAAAGTCACATTATCACATGGTAATGCAATTTAATCCAGGAAATGGTTGCAAAACTGTCCTTGTTGGAGCATCTGGGCATTCTGACAAGCTTTGAAAACTGCCTGGCTAAGAGTATTAAATTTGACTCAGGACTTATATCCACATGTTTTTCAGTCAGAAACTGAAACTTTGGAAAGTAAGCAATAAACAGACATGACACTGAAAGTATGTGCATTTCTGAGTTTTAAAACAAGTCTCTGCTACACTGTGATGAGATAACAGCAATATAGTTTTATATATATATATACACAGTCCGTAACAGTCCTTTTATTATTAGGCAGTTAGGCAAATATCAAGATAATAAGACATATATGATAACGGGGGAGCTTAACCATAGTTCATATTCCTATGCTATTTGTATATGGTCTGTTTGCTATTGTTTGTCCAAAACATGCTATCCCAATAAAATAGATGAGTTCCTAGTCTTTTTACAAGAAAATAAACTGCTTTATTTAAAAAATGTGTTGACCATGCATTGCTATATTTCTATATAAACTGTGTGCAAAAGGCCCAGAGGCCTTTCAATTAACCAGTATTCCTAATACTTTCACTGATGCCTATAACACAGTCAGCAAGCCATATTTAGCATGAAATATTACTTAATGGGACTTGTGATGTGTTGTTATAGAGCTGTTAAACCTCAGTAAGGAGAATCCTTAGGAAAGACTGATATAGCAGGGGAACATCCACAGTCTACTTTTCAGACTAATCCAATGTATCTTGTATTGTAACCCAGCTCCACTGTTGCAGCCCAGCAATGGGACACCGAATCACTTTTGTGTGGCTGCTCCCTTCAGGTTGAGTGATGGAACGGTGAGAAGTTGGGGAAGACAGATCAAGCTGCTGCATTCTGGCAGCACAAATCTGTGTCGTCACCATGCCTGTGACTGCAAAACAAAAGAGAAGAGATGGGTAGAGGTTCTGGCACACCTCTTCTTATTACTGCGCATGTGTTGTGCCAATGTCCACAGTAGCACAAGCAGAGCAGAGGGTGCACTGACCTTTGCTAGTGCAGCCAATTACTATTGACCATTGTCTGAAAGGACTAAAACCTAATTAACCTATTGTGTCTGAATTTTTTGCTTACACTCAAAGACCAGACAAAAACTGGCACCCTATTCGCTTGGCAAAATATTAGCATGTACAATAGATGCAGCTATCAAGACTGTTACAAAAACACAGTTTTAGTTTGTAAAACACCTCAGTTACCACTGTAGTGTGGCATCATTGTCATTTTTACACTTCACACATGATATATCATTAATAACTAGGTTTTTGACATCCTGGTAGATGGACTTGCCTTTAGGGCAAAGGTTTGGTGTTTCTTCCTGTGCCGATACTTTATGATAACTGGTGTAAAGCTGCTGGATGTAGTCTCACACACATAGAATTTTTTCCATTATAGGACCCTACCGAAATGTGTTGCGCCGATTAATGCATGTCGGGTTATGCATTTGTTTCAACTGCAGTGCATGTGCTTTGGAGAGGTTATGCATTTGTTTCAACTGCAGTGCGTGTGCTTTGGAGATGTATTCTGGGAGTTAAATTTCAGCACCCCACAGGAGGTAGTAATAAAATCAAATACCAGGAATGCTAGGAAATTTCAGCACCCCACAGGAGGTAGTAATAAAATCAAATACCAGGAATGCTAAAGAGGAGGGGGTGCATGAGCGCAGAGCAGTCACCAGTGGTTCGTTAGATGTTTGCGTCCTCACACCTCAAGTATTAGCATTACAAGCACAGTGTGTAAACACACAGCTGACTGCATGTGTGAGAGAGGAGCAGCCCCTCCCTCCTCCAGACAGAGAATGTCAGAGAGAAAATACCGTGGAAAAACAAAGCAGGACCGCCCACATCATCCCCGGAGGCTGCGCTTGGTGATGGTTAATGGAAGTACGGGGTATACTGCTCGTTAAGTTCCAGTAGTGGAAATGCAGCATTGGTGTACAAAAATGAGTATGACAGCAATCTTCTCATCTAACTCACAGCAATAAAGCGAATAAGTATATTTCCCAAGACATCAAACAGTTTCTTCAAATGTTAACAAATTAAAAGTACTTTTTCTGGTGAGGCAACTTCTATCTGTCAGTTTGTGCCTTACTTCTCACTACTTTTCACTCTCAACAATACAGCCAAGGAACATCTCACTTTCAGATAAATTCACACGCTCATGCACACCCTGAGGTGATTAACTGATAATTGATTGGTGTGAATCCTCTGCTCAGGCATGATGATGGTTTTTATAGATCTTTGCCTGGAGGCCCATTTTCTGATCCATACTTCCTCCTCCAGCATCTCCTGCTACCCCCTTGCTTTAGTTTTCATGTGCTTCTTTGTGTTAGATCCCTACTTTTTTCAAAGTGTAGGGACCAATTTGTTGCTGTGTCCTTGGCTAAGCTTTTCAGCATTCTGGATGGGTATAGCCTAGTGTTGGGGTTGAGACTGTGATTCAGACTGGGGAGGAGGTTTCTGGCGACAGGCACTGACATTGAAAATAAAAAGGGGTTGTTTTAGAGCTGAAACAATTCTTCTGCCTATTCATCTGTCAACAGAAAATTAGCAAGAATTACTGTGATTTTTGCATTCATTTTAGTTATTTGCCAAGCAAAAAATTTACTAGTTCCAGCTTCTCAAAGGTGAGGACTTGCAGCTTTTTTCTGTTTTATACCTTTGTAAATGGTGCTGTATATTTTAGGGTATGTGATTGTCAGTCAGACAAGCAAAATATCTGAAGACATCATTTTTGAGTTTAAGAAATGTTAAGGGGCATGTTAGAAATATTTCAGTCATAATGATTATTGATTAACCAGAAGATAATAATTAGCCATTTACTAGGATATTATAAAGTACCTCACCAAGTCTAGAGACCAGACTCAGTGAGTTTAACATTATAGAAAGAGGTAACACCTTATCTTACAGGTCCACTATTTCCAAATAATTTTTTTGAAATTTTCCCACAAAGATCCATGTAGTTTGATATTATGGATTTTTTGAAACTTTTTTTGTTAGCCTACTGAGTTGTGTTGAGTTTATTATTGGCTTCCACAAACATTTTCACAAAATAAATTGCTCAATTTAATATTTGCTATTCATTTATTTATAATTTGAAATGTTATTCTTCATTTATGTTGAATTGTGTGGTTGTTTGTCAATAAATTTTACACTGTGCATGTGTAGTACCTTGTGTGCTCTGAATAGCCTCAAGTTTGTGCTAGCTTAATGTTCAGAAATAACTAGAAAGGTACCAATGCATCACTCTGTATTTTACCTATATTTAGGTATAAAATTATATAGTTCTTTCCAGGAAACATCTTAGGAAATTATTTGGAAATAACTAGAGTTTACAGACCTGTAAAATAAAGTATTATCTATGTATCTGCAAATCCCCACAACAGGAGCTGCAACCAGGTAATATTTGACTTTCAATTTGCTTAAAAAATGGCAAACATTTTATCAAAATGGAAGCTGATTAATTTACTGTTACTCATCAAACCCAAAACCCATTAAAAGAATAGTTATTTCCTTTATATATACACACATACGGACAAAGGGAATGTATACATTTTGAACTAAGATTTAGTGGTCTCTGTCTATAGTAAATTTAGAATTCTATAAAGTAGCAGAAGGCATCTAGGGCTCTTCCTGACAATATAACTTACCATATCTACTATCAATTACAATATTTATAATTAGTTTTATATTTCAGGAAAATATGAAAGAAATCTGAGGGATGCCTGTCTAGAGATCTACACTGCAGGTTCATTTGTCATCATAATGGACTACCATCAGTGTCTTTCTGAGAGCCAAAACAAATACTGTCCCTCCTGCTACCTGTTCACAATAACTTACATTATAAGATGAGCTCATGCATGTCAGTCTGCTGAACAGCCTCCCCCCCGGGCCACTGTGGGGTGTGAAGAACACCAGCAGGTTGTTCAGACTGGGTGTGATGGTCTTCCAACAGGGACTCTGTGAGCCAAAGCAAGAGACCTGAAATGAATTCTAAAAACACATGCACTCAGTCACTGAACTGGCAGATTTGCTGCTGCCGACCTGCAGGGCTGGAGGCGCAGCATAAGATGATTAATGACCAACAATTACTTTTGTCTGTGTCTCTATCTTGTGCTTTTTCTTCCTCCTTTTGCTCACACAATATACCATTAGTCTTTCATGCTACTGTTTCACATATCAATGGCCACAGTTTCTCCCTATCTCTCGGAGACACACACACAGAAGAAAAGTGTGAAATGTCACGAACTGCAGTGTTTTGCATTTCAAATGAATGACTGCTGTTGCTATTTTCTCCCAAGAAGCTATAATCCTGATTTGAAACAGCCATGTTTGTTCAGTCAATCACCTTCATGGTAGACAACTTGTTCTGATTGTTTTTTTTTGTGTCTCTCTAGATATTTGCATGTGAGAGGAAAATATGAAGGTAGTGGGCTTCCTGTGGATCCTTAGGGTTCTCCTGGTGGTAAGCTCTTATTTTTAAATTCAAGGAATGTGTATGATACATTTCCCAAGGCCCATTTTGTCCATTATGTATGCCGGGCATATGTGTTTAAACATAGGATCCAATTTTCCTGTGGGTGGGTATATCTGTAGTTGTGCATTTGGTGGTAGTCAAAGATCAAACTTGTAGCACTCTACTGCACGGCTCCAGCCACGATAACAACAAAACCTCCCTGAAACTGTAGGAAAGCAAAGCATTTACAGGGCGTCTCTTTGTCATACCCCATGAAAAGGGTCACAAAATGCTAACAAAAATGGTCATTAAATAAACAACTACACACAGGCATTTCAAGCTAAACAGCTGCTCTGCTACACACATGCTTTGACAAACGTCTGTTCTAAATCAGAATAAATAAAGTTTTAGTTCCAAATTTTAAAATAGCCACAGTGCACCCATTTAAACAAACTATAATTAATTTGTATGCCTGATGTATATATGTTGTACTGCTCTATGTTTCTATAGTTTGTCAGTGGTCTTGTCATAATTGTAATGCATGAGGAGAAGACTGAACACAAGAGCAGATTTATTATTTTTTGCTTCTTGTCATTCAGCTCATCTGTTGATATTGGTGGTGGCCTGGTGGTCGTATGTATGACGTCATTTACTTCAATGTTTGGAGTGACATCATATGTACGGCTGCTAAACTGCTACATGGGACATCAGCATGTTTTTCCTTTTACACGTTTTTATCAGGCAGGTAAGAATGATGTTTTGGATCTAATGAGAATTTCTTTTCCATCCACAAAGAGGGAGGAGGTTTGCCTGGCCTGTGCATAGAATCTACTGAGCAAATGTTCAAGTTCCTAATACAAGTCGAAAAATGCAAGTGCATGAGCCTGGCACTTTGAGAATTTTAATTTTCAGCCACCCACCCACCTCTAAAAATTGCAAGATAAGGCACAGTGAAATGGGCTCTTTATCCTTCAGTGAGCTACATTATCAAATTCAGCATTTCAAAAAGCAGAATTCATTTTTAATGCCACCTCCAAATCCAAACAATAGCGCTGAGATAAGAGGCATTTGAAGAACATCAGCTGCTTAACATCTTCTATGAGTTCCCACACACACTTTAATGAGTCAGATATAAATGGAGAATGGCTAGAATTTCAAAGCAAAGTCAACTCCTCTTCAGCTTTGAAGATGCTTCAGAAAGGGTGTATGTTTATTCTTCCATTTAAATGTTTATTTCATACAAGGACACAGGTTTTTATCTGAGTATGATAAAACTGCAATACCACAAGAGCAGCAGCCACAAAACACACACTAGCCACTTGCTAGCAAAACTCTGTACTGTGTTCAGAGTCAGTATGAGCCATGTTTTTTCACCTCTCCTCTCACATCTAGTGCTGTGTTGTCTCTACAGCGCAGGGCGGCGGCGGCAGACACTGAGCCAGTCTCAGACGCATCGCACAGTCCTGGAAAAAGCATGACAGAGGGACAGAGCCAGGCAGTGAGCCAGGGTCAATACAAATGTCTTGAGCTGTCCAACAAAGACCACCCAGAAAACAGAACCGGTGAGGGGCAAAAATCATTTTAAAGGGTGTTTAAGGACAAATCAATTACGTCTGGGAGTGCGTCACAGTTGTAATGATGCTATAAGATGGTGGACTGGGATCAGAACACAACTGACCTGAAGCTGTGGGGTTATAAGCATTTTCAAGGATGTAGAGAAATTACTGTATGTTATTCCAACAAATACAGTACTGTATACTGCTGAAGACACAAAAAACGTATGTAGCCAGAATAGTCATTACACTTTGTTGTATTTCTTTCGAGGTACATTTTGTGGACTTATGTGGGATGGCTTGTTGTGCTGGCATGAGACACCAGCTGGGACATCTGTAACACAAAACTGTCCAGATCATCCTGACCTGGTCTCATCTGGTAAGAAGGTTTTGCACTTCTCACACTAGTTCACAACAGGAGGCTTGCTGGTGGGAATTGGGAGTTTTCTGCATAACCTTTTAATTCCAGGTCAACAAGCAACACAGGGAACCACAACCTTCTCTGCCTATGACAGAGGTCAAAGGTCATGGAGCTGTTCTAAGCCTTGTAAAAACTCATAGATCTCTATATCTGCTCTGCCTTTACTATCACAATAGCCTTGCAGTGCTGTAGACCTTTCTTAAAGCTACAGGGTATAGCTTTTTCAAATAATTTAGTTGTAGATCTATGCTCCAAAACTTGTCTTAATGTGGCGAGGAGCTGTCGAAGCCTCCTGTGACCCAGACTTATTGAAGAGCACTGACAACAGTGCAGAGATTATAGCTTCTAAAAGGTTTTGAGCAGGATTGACCTCTCTAACAATCAGAGATTTTCAGTTATTTCTGCTTGATCAGTAAGTTTTGTTGCATTCTCATTTCTTATAAGCATAGAAGATCATAGTAGAGCATAGTTGGAGCAGGGAGAGGAAGTGCTGGGTGGAGCAGAGTGGATTGACTTGGAGTTTCATGCTCCTTCACATTGAAAGGAGCCAGCTGAGGTGGTTCAGGCATCTTATCAGGATGCCTCTAGGGCGTCTCCCTTTGGAGGTTTTCTGGGCATGTCCAACTGGTAGAAGACCCCGAGGCAGACCCAGAACATGCTGGAGAGATTATATATCTCATCTGGCCTGGGAATACCTCAGAGTCCTGCCAAAGGAACTGGAAAATGTTGCTGGGGAAGTCTGGACTGCCTTGCTGAACCTGTTGCCACTTCAACCTGCTCTCAGATAAGCGAAAGAAAATGGAATGAAATGATGGATTCTAGCACTACCTCAGGTTGCACACTGTAGCTTTAACAAACAAATCAATGTTGCTTCAGTGGGGGAAAGTGAGCATAAAGGATGCATAAGATACAGTAAATTATTAGCCTATTGTGTTTTATCAGTAAGACATAATGATTCTCTGAGTACACTTAATGTTTGCATGGCAGTAGAAGTAGTTAGAACTGTATGTGCAGTCTTCAAACTGTAATGAATGCAAAGCTCAGTGAGCAGCTGAACAGACCCAGAGTCAAACCATCTCCGATTTAACAGATATGATAGAAGTAGGGGATGTGAGGGAGATGACAGAGTGAAGAATGAGGGTATATAGAGGGGAAAAGACTCAAAAAAAGAGGGATTACAAAAACATTGAAGGAAGAGAGATGTGTATGGAAAGAGAACATGAATGAGAAAACAGAGAAGGTGTTTAGTAAAAAAAGACTCATGAATGATTTTCCCAAAATGCCTGTGATGTTAATAGTCCTCTTCATGACTCCTTATTTGAAAGCTGATGCTGCTGATATGAGGCTTTAGGGAGATTTACTGTACAGCTGGAAGTGGTTGTTGAACAGCTGATGAGGTGTTGGGCTGCAGTTGTTGTTGTCAAGAACAAAATGATCTCATTCTCAGCCCAGTTATGGATCTGCAGTACTGTACATGTGGTTTTAAGCCTGATATTTGAGAATTTTCCAGGAATTTTGTTCCAAAGAGGAAATTTTCTGTTTGACATAATGTTGATAATGTGTGATAAGGCGAAGGACTCACAATTTTGTAAGTCCAATTGTAATGCCAAGATTTAGTGTCAGATTTTTGTGTTTGGATGATGCCAACATACTACTGCTGAAAAACAAAGACAGACAGACCTTTCTCTACTGGACATGAATCACACACAGAAGCAATAAACCATGTCTTTCAGTTAACTGAATATTTTTTTCTCCTGCACAGAAAAGGTGACCAAATATTGCAATGAATTGGGTAACTGGGTCCAGACTGGGTCCATCTGTCAACCAGATGCAACAGAGAAACTGGAGGTATTTGAAAACTGATATTGGTATTTGGACAGACACTGGTTTCCCTGTAAGTAGTGGAAGAATGAGGCAAAACTTGTCTCAGTTGTTCTGTACACAAATATATAGTGTTTATTTGTTTGTTTGGTTGGTTGTTTTCCTCAGAAAGAAGCCCACCATTTTTTATGGGATAATGCGGAAGAGCCAACAACAAAGGCCACAGAAGTTAATACAGAAAACGCCGGTGTTCTGGAAAAAATGATCTCTGAGAATGAAAAGAAATGCTTAGAAAAAATGAAGCGGAATCCACCTTATAATAACTCAGGTACTGATACTGTTACCCACTGGCAACTTTCATATTGGACAAACAAGAGGCCTGTAAATATTTTTTTGGTTTTTGTGTTTTTGTTGGTGCTGTAGGACTGCACTGCAGTCGTAACTGGGATGGCTGGCTGTGCTGGGATGATACACCAGCGGGGACATACATTTCCCAAAATTGCCCTGATTATTTTTCTGACTGGGACCCTACGGGTGAGTCATGAGGCTCACGAGTTTTGCAATTTTAAAAGTCCACTAGTCTAATCCTCTGTTGTTGATTGTATTTGAGGTTGGACTCGATCATGTAATTATTGTTTTCAGAAAAGGCAACTAAGTACTGTGGAGAGGATGGGCAGTGGTTTCATCAACCAGAGTCCAGTCGTACTTGGACCAACTATACACTCTGTGTAACCACCCGTGAGAAGAAACAGAGGGTAAAGTATAGTTGATAAAATAAGCCATCATTCATTACTTACACTAGATTAAATATTCATCTGTCACTGCAGAGACAGTGGCACTTTAAGCTCTGCCCCATTAATCATGGTTTTATTAGGTGGGAAGCTGATGAGGGATCACTATGTAGATCAGTCATTGTAGAACTGTTGCAGCACCTCTTTCTGGTTGGTCTGACTACACTGTCTATGCAACATATCCTTCAACCTACTGTAAATAACAAAACTGGTTGTTTGTCGGTATATTCTAAAACTGTTCCAAGACATTATTTACAGTATATAATTATTTTCTGATCACCACCAGTGTGGATATGGTCTGCATTGGTGTAGGCAAGTACTGTAAATCCACTTGGTTGAGAATTAGATTGTTGTCATGGCTCAGTGAAATCAGTGGTGACAAGAGATGTGAACTCTGGTCACAAAAGATAATTGTTGATCAATGGTGCTAATGATCGGGAGTTGAGCCACGCCTTTGGTCAGTCCTCAGTTTTCTGTACACTGTTATTTGATGTTGAAACTTCTGTTTGTTTTGTTTTTTTTACCAGGCTTACCAGTGATGATGGGTTTTCCTGAACATTTATAACATGCAGCCCCCTCCACAATAACAAAATAAATACTATCTATGTAGCTTCCACTACTAAAACATCAGACCAAATACAGTATCAGTAGGAGTAAGGGCTCTTTCATATTTGTCCAGCAAAATGTATTATTCATACTGTTGTAACATACAGATGTGCCATATTTGAGTGTCATGTTTTTTCCTATAGCTTGCTGCTCATTGTGTTGATTAATAATTACAGTGTATGTATGTGGATGTGTGTCACTAAACTGAAGGCAGGTGCCCAGGTCTCAGGGAACACTGAGGTAGAGTCTGCTGATGAGGCCACGGTCAGCCCCATGGTTAACCCCAAAGAGCAGGAAATCATGCGAAACAAAATTTTGGACAATCAGTACAAATGCTTTGAGAAAATGAATCGAGATCCACCTAATAACAAATCAGGTAGCGATCATATTTACTTTGCCGAAGCTCACTGTGTTTTTCTCTTATTGTGCTTCTCCGCTGTGAATATTAACTCTGTTCCTGTTGGTGCTCCAGGGCTGTACTGCAATCGTAATTGGGATGGCTGGCTGTGCTGGGACGATACTCTGGCAGGAACTTACACCTCTCAAAACTGCCCCAATTATTTTGTTGACTTTGACCCCACAGGTGAGCATTGAGACTGGAGAGATTTCATAACATCTCATGATAAATTCGCATCTACTTTTAAGGAAGTTGGACTATAAAACTAATTGGTTTGAGGATGAAGTACTCACTAAGACAAATGGAACCAAAATGGACACTGAACTCTATGGATCTGAGGATATATTAGATGAATGTGCTACAAATATTTATAACTATTACTTGCAGAAAAGGCCACCAAGTATTGTGGAGAGGATGGCCAGTGGTTTCGCCACCCAGATACCAACAGGACTTGGTCCAACTACACACTCTGCAATGAAAACACTAAGGCAAAGTTGAAGGTAATTTATTAAAGTACTATAACTTGGTATTATAGATCTAGTGATGGTGGGTCAACATAATTGTTTCTTTTGTTGTGTGGTGAAAATGTGAAAACTGGACATAAATATTGTAGCAGACACAATTATGATCAGGCATTTTTATTGCCAAGAAATATTCACACATGAAAAGTAACAGATAATTGCAAAGAATAAGCTCACAGCTGGTCTGAAGTAAAGGCCAAGTCATGTAGCTTGTTTAGGCGTTACTGATAATTTTAATGAGACCACTGTGTTCTAATCTGATAATCGTACAATACAAGCTATAGCTCTATCTTGTTTGTGTTTTTTACAGTCAGCATACATCCTGTTTTACATGGCGATCGTGGGGCATGCATTATCTATAGCCTCCCTGCTCATCTCTCTGGCCATCTTCTTCTACTTCAGGTAACGAATTCAATGTTCCTGCAAGATTGTAACAAAATGAGAATGTGCTGTAGCTGTAGTTGCAGTTTCTAGTTCGATAGTGCACATTGTAATGTTAGAAAATGCTGAATATTGTTGTGCTCTGGTGAAAATACAGTTTCATCATGCACTGATGATTAATCAGTGGTAGTTTTGCCATTAAAGCTCAATCATGTTGCCACTATCATCAACAGCTCTGACAGGCACAGATGGTGTTGGGCTTTGCTTACTGGTTTATACCAGCAAAAGCCACACAGAAGGTTTTTCAGTCACATTTTAGAATATAATCAAGACTGTTAATTGTTTGCGGGGTAAGCATTCAACATTATCTAAAAGTGGTTTTAAAAATATCTGCTAGTGTTAAATAAATAATGACAACTGTAATCAGAAGGTTATTATTATCTTCACTGTCACAACTTAATGGAACCTATGAGACTTAAAATATTGCTTCACATAGTGTGATTTATATACAACCGATCAGTTACTTTTTTCAACCTGGTTTTCTTGTGCAGCACATTTCTGTCATGGATATTCAGGATTCAGAACAGGAGAGATGTGACATCCATTGAATGTGTTGCGCTGCTTTGCTCTCATTAGAAACGTGTGCAGCTAAGTGCATTGCTCATTAAGGTTTATCATCCCGGTGTACTGGTTAATCCCAGAGGGAAAAGGTGTACAGTTCATTCAGATACTGCTGTTGAAATTCAATTAGATAAGGGCTCTGAAATTTGGGATTGACGAAGCCTGATAAGAGGTTAGGTTGTGAAACTGTATGCACATTGTTAAAACGGGGACTTTCACTATAAGTTTATGTCTGGGAAGGTGAATCATAATTATTTTTGATGGCACAATGAGATTCATAACAATATTTGGTTTTGCTTTATTAGCGCTGTAGTTTTTGAATGCTGCAGTTGTGAAATGTGACATGCTGAAGGGTGCTGACCTCCTAAATGTAGCTATAACCCAAAACATATCTTGTAAGAAATTCTCAGTGCAATGTAAAATGTTATACACATTCATAAATCTAGCAGCCATGTAGTGTATAGGGCATGTGCATTATTACAAAATCCCATGACCTGACCAAACTTTTAAGCCGCACAGCAATTTAACAGGACCATCGCAATTCAAAGACAAAGTCAAAGTCCTACCAAATTAAGAGCTCAATAAAGAAGCAGAATGACTGGCTCGGAGAATGCTTTATCTCCTCTTTATTTTTAACCATAACTTAGGATATTCAAAGCCAAAACACTAAAAAATAAAAGCTTAATGTTTATTATGACATCCAGATGTGAAGCTTACTGTGGTATGTGATGGTGCGCAGCTGTGCACTGTTATTTATAGCTCTACATCAACACTATCAGGACTTCCAGATAAAAATACTCCATCTTGCTGTGGAAAAACAGGAATGGGTTGGACAGCCAGTCCATAGACTTTAGGAACTGTGACAGTCCCGGCAGCATTTGCCATAAGGATTCCGTTTGTGTTTTGACATCCCCTTTTAGATGAAACCCCATAAGTATTCAGCAGCTCCTGCATCTCTTTCTGTGCCTGAGTCTGTTTTTTTTGTTGGAGGTAACCGAGAATGAATGAGACAGTGAAAATGTGCAGTTGTGTATGTCATTTTGCTTGAGGAAATGGAGCACTTTTCCTGTTTTTCATGGGTTTGCGAGGTTTTATGGCTCAACAAAGATAAAATTGGACATGGGCAGTAAAAGAATATAACTGTAAAGGAGATCTATTTAGGAGGCTACATTAGAGGCAAAATATATTTCGAAGCCTAAAGCACTGTGAGAGCTGCAGACAGTCTGAGTTCTGCCCTGAAAATAAAGCATTATTTAACCACTACCAATAATAAATCTGATTATGAATGACTTAAACGATTTGATTGTAATAGTTGTTTCCACTTTCCCTGTCAAGCGTTTCATTATGGCATTAATTCTGAGTGGCCAGCCACATTAATGAGGAGGCACCCTTGAGATCCATTGCATTACTATTTCAGCATTTCTATCATTCACATCACAGCATTTAGAGGTAATCCAGCCCATTCATCCCAGGGATTTTATACCAGCCACAAAAATCACTGCAAATGCAGTAATGATACCAGATATTTAATATTTTACAGACGGTAGATGGCAAACTGCTGTTTCTTGTATCAGAAGAGATTAAATTCCAACTTTTAGATTTAAATTTTTTGTTTAATTATCACATCCTGTCCTGATATGTCACCATGTTTTAAAATTAAATATGACATCTGTTTTTACACAGGAGTTTGAGCTGCCAAAGGATCACACTCCACAAAAACCTTTTCTGCTCCTATGTGCTCAATTCTGCCCTCACCATCATCTACCTCATAGCGGTAGTCAATAACCCCGAAGTGGTGGCCAGAAATCCGGTGAGCATGACCTCTGCTGAATATTTACCACCATGAGTGAATAACCACAGACGTTACTAGTACCTCCACACACCCACAGCAGGCATAGTAGCTAAATCCTAATTACCTTTTTGGATTATTCCTCACTCCTCAACCGCCGCTCAACCTAGAAGTGGCATGGTTCGCCATCTGGAAAGACATCCCAGAGCTTATATTCCTCCACTGAGGTGTGAGGATTGAGGATTGAGGAGGCTGCAGGGTTCCATGAAAGCGTCCTTTGCAAAAGATTTATTGTGACCCTTTATCAGAAATCAGTTGGTGATTGGATGCTTTGGATGTTCGTAAGGAGGAAAAGACATTCAGTGTTTTCTCGATTCCATTCTCCCTGCATTTTTGTCATGCGTCTTTTCCTCACATCTAACACAGGCAGGACTAAGACAACAAAAATACAGGCGAGGATAACACAATGCAGTTAAGAGAAGTGGGATTTACCCCTTGTGTTTAGCATGATAACATGTTAGTTTAGCATGATAACATGAAATAATTTACTAATTAGCAATAAACGTAACATATAGCAAATGCTCTTGCAAATATTTGGTCATAAACCAAATGATTTAAATTCTGACCTGATAAAAAGTCACTTTCGGCTTTTCTCATTTAGGGGTCGCCACAGCAAATCATCACACTGACGACTCACATGTTGACATTTGGCACGTGTTTTACGCCGGATGCCCTTCCTGACGCAACGCAATGAGAGCGCTGCGCCTTAACCACTAGCCTACCAGGGACGGCTATAGATTCTGACTTGATAATGATACAAAATTAAATGTTATTGTAACACCAAAGACATTAGAATTTATTAACAAATGTTTTTAGACCATTATCAAGACATTTCAGTCTGGGCCAAAGAGGTGGACTAACTGACACTGCCATCAGACATAAGATAGAAAGCATGCAATTTATCAATTTGAGGAGGATGATTCCACTGTCTGAAATTGAGATACAAAAGCATTCATAATTTATGCTAAACTCAGTAGAAGTGCAAGGAAGAGAAAATTTAACTTAAAATTCATTTGAGGAAACAAAATTTTAGTGGAGTTCTTTATATTTGAAATATTTACAACTTCTTAGAACAGATGTTTAAGTGTTTCATCTCACTGTGCCATATCTTGGCAGAGGTGCACAGCCAACAGAGAGTTATTTGCTGTCTTCCACATCATGCTGAGAGAGACTTGGAGCCATTGTATACCTTACTGTGTGTGAATTCTTTGAAACCCCAAGGGCTGTGTAGTTAAAGATAATAAATATGTCTCATAGGAACGCCTCACTATTAGGACTGACCATAAATTCACGTGTTACTCTTCAAAACCCACTTCTTTATAGAAATCAAAATAATGAAAGTCTGTTAACTGTGGTTTTGCTGTGTCTTAAAATAGTTGTTGAACAGTTTTTCAACTCTGTCAGCTCTGTCTCTTCTTGAATTTTATGTAGACCTAAATAAAGATAGATATATTCTGGCTCATTAAGTCCAAATCAATAAAAACTATGTCAGCACCTGCTTACAAAAACTTAAAAAATAAAACTTGAAAATAAAAATAAATAAATAAAAAAACTTATCTTTTTCAATATAAATGTGTTAAAAATATATAAAAAGAATTTCAGATGATCAGTTTACAGAATGAAAAGCAACAGAAGTTGACTTGCAGCATACATAGTCATGTTAGCACCATCCTACTTTCAACTGAAGCTTCTCTGGACTGACAAATTACCAGAAACATCCAGGAGACCATGAAGGCTTGAGCTGACTTTGGGTCTGATTCTGATTGCTACTGCTGCTGCTTTTTATGCATTGACCAGATTTGTTTGGCTCATCCTGATTGCTGTCTTTATTCACATCCCATCTCCAAATGTATTCAAGACGTAGTCAGGAATGACAGCCATCATCATCAGTGTGAAGAAATATATATGTATTCATGTGACAGCTCCCTTTGAAGATACTCCTTGTCACCATTGGTCAGAAAGGTTTGAGGTGAATCTGTTACGTCTCCGTCCTACAGTTATTAGGTTGTTCTAGCTAGCTACAACATGTCAAAACAAAAATTTGTCACTATGACCTTGCTTTTCAAGAGGAACAGAAAAAGAAATCACAAGCATCGTTGGTTTGGATTCCTGGGTGTCTGTTGGGAAACATTTGGAAATTTACGTTAGCCAAAGTAAGAGTTATGGGCCTGTTTTCTGCACTGGTGACCTGCTCTCACAGAGAAAATAAGCTCTTTTTATCCTGTCTGGTGATACAGAGTCAGGTTTGCCCTGCCAGCAGTGGGATATGTCAAACCAGGGAGGAGGCTAAAAACTTGAGAAACATCCACATGATCTATAGCAGCTTGATATGTAAACCAGAACGCTGTTGGCAACTTTAGACAAACCCAAATTAGCTGCAAAGTGAAAAGTAAGTGACCTGTCTCTCTACATAGTCCATGTCTGTTATAGTGGAGACTCCTCACATGGAGAAGGAAACAGGAAACTGCAGGAGTGGCACATGGCTGACAGTTTAGACTGAGTGAATGGCCACTGTGAGTTTTGAACAGCAGTTAATAGTAATGGCAGCATCACTGAATTACACTGTGGCTGCATGAACTGTACGCACTTAGTAACAAAGGACCCTGAACCAGAAACTCCAATTTATTTACATTCACTGTTTCAGAGAAAACAAGGATTTTAGTAGTTGCCTTTTAAGAAAAAGGAGTGAGCAAGTTGGTTAAAGTGCATGTTTCAGTGATGACATCAACCTTTTCATATAGCTCCACATGTGAGTGTGATAGAGCTCATGAGCAATAAATCAGGTTGCACTTTAATAAATAACACAGGGGTTGTGCTGGTGTAGATAGTATAGTTAGTAATAGAGAAACAAGCTCTGTTCCCATATAGGAACAGAATAATGGTTTTTGAGCAAGGTGTTTGTAGGACTATCTACAATTACATATTCAGGAAGAACATAAAATGGAATTTTCACATCAGGAGTTCAGTGCTCCTATGAAATACATTTGGTGTGTTTGGAGATTATCTAACGCAGGCTGTAACAAAAGAAGGAATTGTTTGCATGAAGATGATCACATAAAAATGGCATCATCAGCATATGAATGGAAATACAATGCTCTGTTGGAAAATAAAGTGTTTTTATGGTTTATAGAGAGCAAATAGCCAGGAGCCTAATAGTGATTTGTGGTGGGCCCGCAATTACCAACCATATGGATGCTTGATTTGAAAGTATCAGCAACAACAGAGTGAACTCCTCCTGAAAGTTACAGTACTGATTTGTTTAATTTAGCAAAGTCAGCAAAACCAGTAGAAGGCACTGGAAGCCAAGGAGGGAGCAGAGTTTTCTGTAATAGGTGCTCTACGGTATAATATTAAGCTTTCTGAGTAGTTACCATAGACTGAAGAGAAACATTAATGTTTTGCAGCAATTATCACAATTTTTGGCATATCCAATAAATTTCAGTGATTCAGTGATTTGGTTTTACTACTTGAAGACATCTAGGCTGTTACTGGAGCAACATAGTCCAAATCTGGGCGCAGGGGAATAGTAATATATAACATGGCTCCTTAACAAATCTCCTAAGAAATATATCAGTGCAGTGCAGCATCCTTAAACATCTTAGTAATTACAGCATTTAGTAGATTCCT